GTAACCCTCAACAGTACATATGTATAACACATGTCATAGTTTAAAATGAAAGTAATAGCTTTTGTTGATGGAAGATTGTAAAGTTTTTTTTTTCAAAATCATGTTTAAAACATATGATATATCCAAACATAGCTATGGTTCTGCATGCACATATACAGGCTCCTACCAGAACCCACACTGGCCATTTTAGGAATTTCCTTGGACTTTAAAATATAGAGAAGTAATTATTCTGAGTGCCATGGCTGCCAGGCTACAAATACAGGAAGATGAAATTACGCATCTACTTCTTTTAGGTTAGGGTGAAGCCAACCCAATTTAGAGTTTCCTTCTCCTTTAGGTTTGGAGATTGAATTGGGCTGGATTTACAATTCCCATAACCCAAGGCCCCTGAAATTGAGATATGCCAAAGACTTCATGGCAGATCATCCCTATAACATCAACATCTCCCTGCCTTCAAAGTAAATTAAGGCATCTCTTTACCTTAATTCAATTTAAATTAAATTAAATCATAATTCAGTTTGGCAGAAGTGAAGGAATGTGTTTTCCTTTGTGGAAAGTCATTTATGATAGAGTTCTGGAAGAAATGAAACCCAGAGAAATGCTAAAATAGTTTTTAAGCACGTAAAGGAAATTGCGGAATGCTTAGGATGACATGAAGCATTTGGAATTTGGCCAGGTATCTGTGAAGAGAGTAGGCAGGTACATCATTTGAGGACCTTAGAGAAATCATGGTGAGGTAAATTAGGTGGACAGGAAAGGTCTGCAGGATTTCTGGAGAGAAATGGGGTAATAGCCCTGTGGAAGGCCTGCACTGTGCATGGAAGAGAGCAGAGGTAGCCTTGCTGCCTCTGGCCCTCCAGAACCTCCCTTTGGTCCTGTGGTCTTCATCTCACCAAATACTCTTAGACAAACTCACTGTCTTGTCACTGTTAGTTAATTTTTAAACTCTTACTCTGGAAGAAAAAATGATAAACAGGATTTTCCTCCCTCCATTTCAACCCCATCAGCAATGTTAATATGAGCCTGCATATAGATGGCATATGTTTTTAATCTATTCAAAGTACTGTACTTGATATTTAGTGGCTTAAACTTTTGTCAGACTAGGAGCATGCCATATAGTGAAGGAAAGAGCAGATTAATTATGTTTAAGCTAAAGTGAAAAGGCTATGAGTGAATAAATGGATAGAATTAAGGAAACAAAAATATCAGGTAACAGGGCTACATTGTTTTATTGATGCTGAAATTATCTATATGATTCATAGGAATATCTGATTTTCCCTCTTACCCTAGGCATTATTTATTTGAGAATTGTAATAATTTTAAAGTGCTATTGTCAGTTTCTGCTCCTGGCTGATTTCTCTCTTGGCATGATTTTCAGAATTTCAACATTCCTTACTGATCTCAATCTTTTTACCATTAAGAAAAATGTCCAAGCAAATAAAATGCTGTATATATGAAAAGGGAATTAATCAAATGAGTTTATTTATGTAAGAGTGTTATGTATTATTGAGAGGTAGACCTTATGTAATACAGATGAAAGAACATGACATATATCCAAGGTCCAGTCACAGTTTTATCACTTTGTGTCTGGGTGGCCTTTAACTAGTTACTTCAACTGTCTCAGTTTACATATCTGCAAATAGGGAAAGTAATACAAGTTTTGCATACATTTCCATATTATTTGAGAGTAAAATGAGAATTTGTATTTTATTTTGAAATTTGGAAACTGATATTCAGATTAAAATAAATATTATACACAGACAAAGAAAATCAATATTTTAATTGTAACTTTACCATATATAGCCTATTAAGCCATGGAACTTTAGGATGTTGATGTCTGAGGTGTCAAAATTTGCCATCACTTTTATCCAACTCTTGATACCATACTGAAGATCTTATAACAAAAATGGTATGGAAGTTGACCTTAAGTGTAATTATTCAAGGGGATCTCTTGCTAGATACTTCATAATTCATTCAAGAATATATGGAGACATTTAGATAACATGGCTTTATTATATTTACAGACTAAGATTCCTTTGAGAATCTCATGAAAGTTAAAGATCTTCTCCTCAGAAAAATATTCATATGCCCATTTAGAAAGTATTTTACAAGAAATTTCAAGTAATTCATATCAACAGACCATAATTTAGGCCATGTTCACCTTAGATTGTTATGTAGAAGGACTTTGATGATACGGCTTTCTCCCTTTCAGAGAGTTTTCCAGACTATTACGGTCTTCTGTTACAGACCATATTATAGAAGGTTTTTTCCTGCCCAGCTGTGCTTCTACTCATTTCTTGCTTTGGCTATATTTCACCTAAGGTCTCTCTCTTAAGCAAACCCAATTCCATCTCCCCCCACCATTGCCTCTCTTCGGTACTTTTCATCAGTGCTCATTCATAGTGGAAGAAGTAAGGGACGACTGTGACCCAGACTAACAAATGCAAGAAGCAGAGGGTCTGGACAGAAATGGCAGTTACAGGTAGTTCCAGGACTACTAAATTAGGCTGCAGCAAGGCTGGAACAGAGGTGAATAGTCTGAAGAGTTAGCCTGTTAAGATATTCACTTATTCACAATTCTACTAACCCTAAACAGTCAAATATTGGAAATTCTTTGTTACTGGCTTCATTTGTAAACAGTTCTTCATTAAGATCTTCTGGAATTTGGCCATTCCCCACCTGTAATAATAAAATATGAAAGTGATTTTTAAATTATAAGTATGATAACAGCGTAAGAGAGTATCATATTGGATTCTAATGCGACAGTATGATGTGATGATAAATCACGTGTTATCATTTCCATTGTATGAAACATCAGCCAGAAAGGCAGACTACAGATCTTTTCCTCTAGTGATCCCTCTAACAACTCTGTGTTTTTCCAACTTGTAGAATTTTAATCCCCAGGTTTTCTACTTTAACACTAACTCCTCACCAATTCATTACTTCATTTTATCTCATTTTACAAATGGCTCTCAAGATTTAGTGTCTTCAGATGCTGTCTTAAATAAATCTGCATATGTTAACAACAACCACAGCAAAATCCAGGTCAAATATTTTAAAACACAAACATATCCTTAGAATACCAGGAAAGTATGTTCTTATTTTGTACTTCAGCAACAATTGGTCTAGATCTAAAGTGTTACTATTTAGAAAATGAGAATAAGGACACATAATTTCTTCATAAGCCAGATGGATTCACTGTTGTGGAATTTTGAGTTTTATTGTTGGTTTAAACTTTAATGTCCTTGTGCTAATGTGATCCAATGAGAATCTATTTGTAAAATAAAATCTAGAAGAAGGTAGCATACTACTTAATAATTCACGTGAAATATTAAACTAGAGGATTATTTTATGCTTTTAAAAATGTTATTGGTATTGCAAGATAAAGTTTTGCAGTAATATTATGATGTTGGTAACCAATATTGATTTTAAGATTTTTACATTATATAAGCAGAAAACACAGGACACAAACAGTTGAAGTGCAGAAATGTTGCTGAGGCAGCATTAACAGTAAGTTGGATTCCCATTAGGTAATATTCATTGAGACAGTATGTGAATATGCTGGGTTTCAAAAAAATTGAAAGAGAGAACCATTTTAAATTCAGAATGCCAACAGGCATCCTTTGGTATCATAAGCGTGGTGTGCAGTGTTCTTTCTCTGTATGAGCTTTCAACACCATTCAGAATTCTTTTTTTTTTTTTTTTTTTTTTGAGTCTGTGTTTCGCTCTTGTTTCTCAGGCTGGAGTGCAATGGCGCGATCTCGGCTCACCGCAACCTCCACCTCCTGGGATCAGGCAATTCTCCTGCCTCAGCCTCCTGAGTAGCTGGGATTACAGGCACGCGCCACCATGCCCAGCTAATTTTTTGTATTTTTAGTAGAGACGGGGTTTCACCATGTTGACCAGGATGGTCTTGATCTCTTGACCTCGTGATCCACCCGCCTCGTCCTCCCAAAGTGCTGGGATTACAGGCTTGAGCCACCGCGCCCGGCCCAGAATTCTTTTTTTTTTTTTTAAGTGCACTATTATATTTTTGATAGACAATTCATAGAAATTAAAAGCAAGTTATAGATAAATTGTTCTTTTTTCCAATAAAAGAATTTAGAGGGAGAAAAGACATTTGAAGCAAAAAAAACATTATTATGAAATGCAAGGTTATTATTTCTGATATTTTAACTGTAATTTTTAAAGCTTTCTTATGTTTATTATGCCAAATTAAGGTCACTAGTGTAGTAGATTTAAATCCTTTTTCATTTCTTTTGATGTAGAAATTTTAGCTTTTAATTTCTTTATCTGGCAGACCACTGATGAATTAATTATCTTCAAGCCAAGCAACTCTTTTTTTGTTATTTTAGAAGCTATTTTGTTTTGTAGAAAGAGCATTCTATAGGAAGATGTTATTATACAATGTAATACTTTGTCAACATAAAGAAATATCTTTGGAAGCAAAATTATATTGATAGACATTGAACAAAAAATATCTTTGTGGGCATTTAAAACACCAAGGAATTACAAGGCCATGGTGAAGAATAGGCTAGTTACATTGGAAAAGTGAAAGCAAGATATATCTTTCTTTACTGATATGCCGTCTCCTGAAAATTAGTAGAAGTTAGTCTTAAGTAGCTAACAGTGAACCTCGAGTACTAACTTCCCTGAAGCACTGAAATAGGAAGTAGTAGAAGAAACTTGTAAAAGAAACCCTCGGGGATTCCCCTGTGATCCCTTTAATCCTTGAATTGTCAAACCACATGGAAAATAATAGAGCTGTGTAGTTCTAGGACTTAAGTGGTATTATCTTTTTAAAGGAAAATATTAGGTCTCTTCACAGTTCTGGACAAGAATAGGGTGTGTATTCCGTGCAAAAAAGAGTAACTTTGAACCAGAGATGCATATTGCTTTTTCATGTTTAATATAATATTATTGTTATCGCTGAGTAAGCAGGCTGCACCCAGTAGGAAAAACAATTATAGCCAATATTTTATTTTCCTATTTTGAAACAGATGATTCAACGAGAAGCAGATGTAAAAAATAAGGTAACTGCTGTGGCATTGACAGACTCTGTTCACAATGTGTGGCATCAAGAAGCTGGCAAAACGATTCGAGAATGGATGAGAGAGGTGAGACTTGTTTTTGTTTTTTGTTTGTTTGATTGTTTGTTTGTCTTTTCTTTCTAGTGCTGAGATGACTGGATGTGAGTCTTTTTATTTTGAGCCCCCACCAACCTGTAACACCTCCCATCCTCAAATTCCCTTTCTAGAGGCAGAACATTGAGAGGAAGTAGAAAAGGCTAGACATGCTTAAATTAATAATAGAAAACCCATGTGAAGAACTAATATTTTTGAAAGCCCCCCTCCCTTCTTTTTGGCTTTCTATAGAACACTATATATGTATGGCGTTCGATCTACGGTAGGAACTTTGGCTGAAAAAGGTCATGGAGTTAGGAGGTGCTTATTCCCTGATGCTTAATTTTTCCACTAGCTATTTAGCATTGATGCTGCTTAGTTACAAGAAAGAAGCATAAGGTACACTTGGTCTCCTTTTCTTCTTGAAAGGCAGTCAGTATGTGCCACTCTTAAATGGATTGGCTGACTACATCCAGTAGAAGGAAAAGAAGAAAAAAGCTGAAATACTGTTATGCCAGACCCTTGAGTTAAGAGAAACCCAGGGGCTAGCCATGGTTCAGCCTCAGGCTAAGAAAGCTTCTTTTCACACTTCTAAAAACTAACAAGGACTCATTGAATATGCTCTCATTATTATTTTTTTAACATTCAGCCTGTTATTTTTAAATTTCTGTTACAGATAGCCAGCTGAAATTTTCTTTTATTTTTATTTATCTTTCTGATATTATAAGCAGTTGGCATCAGCCACCCTGTGCCATGGTAATTGTTTAGTCAAATCATTTACTTATATACTGTGAATGAGCTGATTGACCTTTCTGGTTTTCTTCCAGTTTTTCCTAATAGAATGCCCAGGTGGCTCTTCAGCTGACACCATAGGACTATGTGATGGGTAAATACTACCAGCCCTCATGGTACACTGCAAGAACCACAGAGTTAATGTTTGAAGAGATAGAAAAATTTGGCTATATATTTTCATAGTAGCATTATATTATCACCAGTCTGTTATCACTGTTGTTTTTCTGCATTAGAAAAAGTACTTTCATCATGCAAAAGTCTAAAATATTTTTATTCCAGTCCTCCTAATACTATCAACGTATAAAGATGGGTTTTTAAAATATTTTCTAACATGCAGGTGTTTGATGACCACATAGAAAGCATTATATAAGTAGTAAGGTTAATAAATGAACTGTTAGTAACTTTTTTCCCCCACACATAAATAGTATGGAATTTGATACTTGGCTCAAACTAAAAACATCCTTGCTCATGATTTTTTCATTCCAGATGATAAATATAACAATATTTATTTAGGTTTACTTTTTAAGTATTTCTAACCAAGGTTGGATTAGGTGGTCCTTTCAAAAATCAGAATGTATTAATCTGTGCAGTTTCCATCGAATGGACTGGACAGTAGTTGAATTCATCATAATTTAATTAAGGCTGCCATTAATTTATTTGCAAGCAAAGCTTTTGCAAAATATATAAAATTTTATAAATTCCCCAGTTCTTGGATAGTTCTTTCAGTTCCCTCAATTAAGCCTTAGGGAAGCAGTTTGAAGAGTTTTGTATTTTGACCTACCAAAATTGAAATCCCAGCTCAATTACTTACATAACTTTGTAGTTTTAAGCAAGTTATTTTATCTCTTTGAGATTCAGTTTTCTCATCTCTAAACTATAATACCTACCTTGCAAACACTGTTGGAAAATAACATATGTAAAGATATAGCACAGTTCTTGGCACTTTAAAAAAGTTTGGTAAGTTATAGCTGTCGTTGTTACAGTCTCACTCCCAAATAATATAAAACACATAAACTGTATTCATCTTTTGTTTTATGAATGGTTTGCATATTCAGAATATCTTACAAAAGTTTTGAAAACAGGGTGACATACTGGAAGTAATTCAGAACAAGCATATGGGAAAACTAAATTTTGATAATGACTCTGGCCAGGTAAATCAATAATTAAGAATCTAGCATGTACCAGCTAGTTTGCTAAGATATATAATCTTGGATAAACCACTCCATCTTTTTGGGTCTGTTTCATAATTGAATTAGAAACAATAATTCCTATTCCATCTACTTCATGAAATCTGTGAGAATCAAAGGTGATAATCAAGTATGAAAACTCTTTGAAAAGCAAATGATACTATATAAAGAAATGAGATGTGTTATTATGGAAAACACTATAGTATCTCAGAGACTTAAATTATGGATCATTCCTGATGGAGCTTTGAAATTGCCCTTGCTCAGTGATCCTCTCCAAAATGAGAACAAAAAGAGAGGCTGTAAAAGTGTATGACAGGTATCCTTGTAGGAACCCACTTAAATGTGTGGCCTCTTGTAGAGAAGATTACAGTGTGGTTTGGCAAGATAAGAGTCCAGTTTCCAAACACTTAGGATGAAACTTCCTCTCCTTTTCTTTCTCCTTTATTTCCTATCCCCTCTGCAAGACTCCTTGAAATAATGAAAAGAAAACAAACCTGGATTACAGGAAAGGGCTGTTGTCTTAAGCATGGGTGTTGGAAAGCTTTTTGTCCTGTAAGTATGTTTAAATTAATGTGGTACATGTAAGTGGCCAACAAACATGTGAAAAAATGCTCAACATCACTAATCATCAGAGAAATGCAAATTAAAACCACAATGAGATACCATCTCACACCAATCATAATGGCTACTATTTTAAAAAGTGAAAAACAACAGATGTTGGCAAGGATACAGAGACAAGGGGATGCATATACATTGTTGGTGGGAATGTAAATTAGTACAGCCTCTGTGGAAAACAGTATGGAGATTTCTCAAAGAGCTAAAGATAGAACTACTCTTTGATCCAGCAGTGTCATTATTGGGTATCTACCCAAAGCAAAAGAAGTCATTTTACCAAGAAGACATCTATACTGGTATGTTTATTGCAGCACTATTCATGATAGCAAAGTCTTGGAATCAACTAAGCATCCATCAAAGGATGACTGGATAAAGAAAATGTGGTACATATCTATATATATTTATATAGATACATGCAGCTATTTGCTATGGAATACTGCTTGGCCATAAAAAATGAATGGATGGATCTGGAGGCCACTATCTTAAGTGAAGTCACTCCGAAACGGAAAGTCAAATACCACATGTTCTCACTTATAAGTGGGAGCTAAACAATGGATACATATGGACATACAAAGTGGAATAATAGACACCGGAGACTCCAAAAGGTGGCAGGTGGAAGATGAAGGATGAGAACTTACCTACTGGGTGTGATGTATACTATTTGGGGTGACTGTTATACTAAAAGCCCAGACTTTACCACTATGCAGTATATCCATGTAACAAAAATACACTTGAACCTCTAAATCTATAAAAATAAAAAAAGTAATGTGATAAAGTTATTGATGTTATCTATTCATTTTATAAAAAGCTAATTTTTTAAACCTACCAATTTAGCATACAGAACAAAGGTTAAGGAACATAGTATTGTATTACTTGTATAATTTCTAAATTTTAATAACAATTTCCTTTAAAGAAAGAAGGTCAGGTCGGGTGCAGTGGCTCACGCCTGTAATCCCAGCACTTTGGGAGGCTCAGGTGGGTGGATCACCTGAGATCAAGAGTTCGAAACAAGGCTGACCAACATGGTGAAACCTCGTCTCTACTAAAAATATACAAGTTAGCCAAGCAGTGGTGGTGGGTACCTATAATCCCAACTACTCCAGAGGCTGAGGCAGGAGAATCGCTTGAACCCATGAGGCAGAGATTGCAGTGAGCTGAGATCGTAACACGGCACTCCAGCCTGGGCAACAGAGCAAAAGCTCCATCAGAATTCTGAAATTTTCCAGCCACACCAGTTGTATGGTTCTACATAATACTTGTGAACCCTTTCCATCACCATTCAGCTCTGAGTGTGGGGCCCTAGAAACATGACCTAGTGAACCATAGCTATATTGGTCCGAGGTCACAAAACCTTTCACATTAAAAATCACCCTTTAAAGCAATGGTGATTTACAACTCAGACAAACACAATAAAAATGAATAATAATATGGCCTCAACCAAGGCCGTAAGCATCTCCAAATAAATACCTCCAAACACCTTGTACAAGAATAGCTACTACCTACTTTTCTCTTTAAATATAATATACTAAATTATAATCTTTTTATTTAATAAAACTAATTCATTTCATACCTACTCTGAAATATATTGCTGACTCTTGGTTCAAATGTCAAAGGGAGTCACTCAGCACTGTGGCCTGTAGGCATTTCTAATCCATATCAATAGTTCCCCAAATTTGGGATTTTACAAAAAGGAACATTTACAACCACAAAAATCTATAGGATCATCATTTAGGGTAAAAAAATGTTTAAACTGAAAACACTTAGCTTTAAGAAACACTTGGTACATTACCTATTTTTCTCTTTTTTCTTCAGACCCAGAGAAACATTAATGAGGTCTGTCCTCATCTGGCTGCCCTGGCCAAGCACTTCTTTCTCTATGCTTGTTTGTTGGGACTAGGGGAGGCTGCATCTGAGACTCAAGCATGGTACTATTGGTACCTCTAGTTCAACATGCCTTATTGCCTACTCAGGGGACCTGAGAATAAATATCAGGGGCTGCTAACCCACTGCAGCATATTTTGAATTTAGGTAGGGCTGCCTGCATCACCACCCAGAACACTTTGGTAGCGTTCATCTCAACTAAAAATTGGGATGGGGACAAACTGGGGCATTGATAAAAGGGATATGTAAGTATCAGGAAAGCAGCAAAAGAGACTTGGCTTCTAAACTGTAGAAGCACATCTCAGAATAGGGAGTTAGATTTAATAAAATAGAATTTCGGACAGATTGAATTTAGACATAATAGCTGCATCTCTTTGCATATGTTTATTTAATTTCATTATATTCTGTCATGTAGTAAACATTTAACTTGTTTTGCCCTTTTTTCTATATAATTTTCCCAGTGGGGTAAAAATGCCACATGCCCCTGCATGCATAAGGGCGTGCGCACACACACAGACACACACACACACTCTCTCTGAAATGACCATATCAAAATTTGTATAGTTCTACACAGGCACTTTGTCATTCCAGAGAACTTTTGGACATACTTTAACTATAGAGTGTTTGACTTCTGTCCAGTTTTTATGAGAGATCAAAGCCTTAAACCTGTGCCTAGATAAAAACTGAAATTTCACAAACGTAAAACGTTAACCTATATTTTGCTTTAAGTGTTTGAATTAAAAGTGATCTGAGCAAACTGGGCAAAAGTTCATTTTGTTTAGCTTTTTAAAGTAACAATTCAGAAAATGATTAATTGTCTGCATATTGTAATGTGCCATCATTTGTATTAATACTAGAAAATCCTGTAAGACATAGTTTTACATATGTGAAATGTAGGTGAGCAGTAGGAAGACCGACACATCACCTGGTTAATAGCTGACTTTCATCAGATTTGGAGGTACTAGTTGGATGAATAATAATTAAAATACATGCAGTACCTAATCGCTGCCTGTCTGTCGGTAGTGCTAATTGCTGTCATTGAAAAGACTGAATTGTTTAAAAAAAAGAGAGAGAAAGAGAAAGTCATTCTTCATTGAAGCTATCTCCCTGTATCATTGGGAGCCTATTTTTAGTACCTATAGAAGTCATGATTTTTGAATTTATTAGGGGCTGTGATGAATGATAAAACAAATCATCCATTTACATATCTTGACACTGCTTTGGAGAATACTTATTTCTTACAAGCAAGTGTCACATTGTATATAAAAGCTGGCTAATTGTGTGCTAATCTTCTGCATTATCTAGAACTCTCTGATGTGGTGTTCTATCAATGGTAGTATTAATTTTACTTATTTCAAATGTATGAAATATCTTCTAAAACCCTATTCCTTTTATAATTTCTACTCTTACATTGTATAATTTTGCATTCAACTGCTAATTAAGATTAGGAGAGCACATTATAGAATATGTATCCATTTTAAACCATCATGCTTTTGTAATGCCTGAAAAATACTAATATTTTATCCATTTTAAATGTAAAAAGAGAGAAAGCATTTAAGAACATTACTAGATGTTATGTTTGTTTTCATGTGTTTTTTTTTCCTACACAGTTCAATAGTTTCATTGATCTACTGTTTCTTACAAAAATCTGCCATGCTTTGTGAACTTCACTTTCTAATCTCATACAGCAACCCTTCCTTTATGTTATTCCTGCTCTCCCTGGTCCCAGAACAGTAGGGTTGCCTTGACAAATCTATTCAAAAGCCATTCCTCGGCCTTTATTGGTGGGGACTGGGGCCTTTGAAATTCTCTCCTCACTGCAACACAGCTGACATCTTCTTCCAGACAGAATGAATTAAGGAAATACAATAAGACACTTGATCTACCAGTCAAGGATCTTTCCACAGTGAGGACGGATTCCATGGTGCACAACCAGGGCAGCAAGCATCTAAAAATACACAATACATGCTTGTTTACCAGAATAGCAATCACCGATTTTTCTAAAATGATTGCTGGGATGATTTCTTTTAAAATAAAATCTGTCTGGAAATTCATTGTGTGTGTGTGTGTGTACACATGTGTGTTGAGAAATTGTTTAAAAACCATATGAGGGTACTCACATATTTTTAGCTTGACTTCAAATATGGACTTAAAATGTATAGAAGGGATATTGATTGTTTTACTTATCTGAATTGTAAATTATCGTTACCTTGCATCGTTCATATTAAAAATTACCTAATTTTTAATATTGAAGGCTTTGTGTCCATAGACACACAGCTACAACTCACCAGATGGTGATTCCTTATAACTATTTTGATACAGCCTTCATTAAAGCAAGTCAAAGTAAAAATTAAAAGATAGTTTTCTTATATGGGTCAGATTTTGAGGAGTAAATGCAAAATCAGTTTATTACACAAAGAATATAGTTTAAAAAGTGGTTATTCTTATGTTAATATTTATTTTATCTAAAAGTTAAAAATGGATACTTTTTTCATTTTCTTTTAATTATTTGTTTACTTCTTGACCATCTAAACTTCTCTTGGAAATATATTGCATCATGGTTCATGGAAGGTTACATGTCATTTTTTTTTTGAGACGGGATCTCCCTCTGTGGCCTAGGCTGGAGTACAGTGGTGCGATCTCAGCTCACTGCAACCTCCTCCACCTGGGTTCAAGCCATTCTCCTGCCTCAGCCTCCCAAGTCCCTGGGACTACAGGCATGCACCACCACACCCGGCTAATTTTTGTATTTTTAGTAGAGAAGGAGTTGTTGGCCAAGCTGGTCTTGAACTCCTGACCTCAAATGATCCGCCTGCCTTAGCCTCCCAAAGTGCTGGCATTACATGTGCAAGCCACCGCTCCCAGCCCTTACATGTCATCTTAGTATCAGCACAGATGATTTGCTGACTTATAAAACAAACAAAAACTTTTTCACCATCATGTTAATTATGAATGATTACTATTTACATAAGAAAAAAATGTTAAGTGTTTGGAAAATAAATTGAATACATTGTAGTGGTTGATTTTATAGAATAAATTAATCTCTTCCTACAAATTTGGTCTTGGCTTAAATTAAATTTCAACAATATTGTCTCTGTTACATTGCAGAACTGTTGTAATTGGGTCTCTAGCTCTGAACCATTAGACACATCAGTGGAGTCCATGCTACCTGATTGCCCCCGGGTCTCAGCAGGTATGTGTTTGATGAGAGATACATGATTGTTGTTGTTTTTCAAGGTGAAAAATATGCTAATGAAATGTAGAATTCTATTTTGTGAATTAGTTTGCTTTTGTCCTTGAGTTGTTGGATGAATTACTGGTAATGTTATGCATGGGTCTAATCCACTTAAGTAGCTTCAAATGCTTACCAACAAACTCAGTAAGATGAATAGGTGAAATAATTCAAGAGTGGTATAGACAACTGCTGTTGAAGCTTAGGGAAATAAGGAATATATACATGAATACCCAAACAAGGATTGGGCAGACATACAGGATTTTCATAGGATATATGTCTCTGATTGAGTTCCAACTCAATGATATAACAGGCAGTCAAGGATGTTGTGTGTCCTAGAGACTTTAGAAAAAAAAATTTCATGCAAAGATTTTAGTTGGTTCTTGTGTTAGACTCTGGACTGTGCGAAAACATACAAGATGGCATCCTATGCAAAGGAGACAGCAATTAAAGCAGCAGCAGCAGGAATGGATCTAAAGATGTCCACAGGGAACGAAGGCAAGACTGCCTTGCCTATTGAAAGGGAGGAGGTGAAGAGGTGAGCACGTCAGGAGTATTTGGGCTATCTAGGAAGTTTAAGGATACCACTGACTTCCAGCCTAAAGGCTTTGTATTTGAGCATTAGGTAAGAAGAGAGAGTGACATTTGTAAGCTTTCTGGTTTTGACTTTCACAGTTCTCATAAAGCGAGCAGTGGCATCTCATTATAACTAATAACAGAACTATGAGCTTACTCTGGCCATGGGTATTGGAGAATGGGTAAAAGTTTGGAACACAAACTACTTTATGTTAACAATCGTAAGTGACAGCTAATCACTGAGTACTTAAAGTTGAAAATATGTTTACATATTTGAAAGAAATAATTTGGAGAATAGTTCAGATTCTAGGTCCAAAACTATTGTTATAACTAAATGTCATGATCATTAATACCTAAACTTCAACTGAGCTTCACTATCATTATAGCTGAATTTTATAAGTCTATAAGCCAGGGTTCAACCACAGAGACAGAATCACTAGACAATGTATATGCTACTATACACACACAGACAGACAGACATATATACATACATATACTCAGACACATATGTATATATATATATGTGTGTGTGTGTTCTTATATATTGTACAATCGCTTTTCATTATTCATGCTAGTTATGTTCTGTGATGTCACTAAAAGCACTGAATTAACAAATAATCATTGCTCTTAGATGAAATACAAGGCCAGGTTCCTGTGAGCTTCTGGTCACATTTTTGTCAACCAGTCAATATGTAAACTTGGTTTATGTGCATTCCATTTAATGACACTTTATTTAATGTATGTTGTTGATTCATTAACATTGAGCTCATGGACAGCAGTACTGTAACTCGTGCCTGAATGAAGCTTATCTAATACATATTTTCTCCGTAAGGCATATCACAGCCTTCTTGTGCTTAGCAGCACTACACAGCACTTCAGCACTACATGTGGGGGCTATTGTAAACAGTAAACCCAAAAATGGCACAAAGGTAGAAAAATGTGGCACTTAATAGTCTATTAAAAGGACACTTGTTTACAATGTAAGATCTGAAACAAGAAGGCAGAGCATGACCTTGTTCAACCTTAATTAAGAATGGATGACTCAAATTTTTCTCCACCCTGCACATGTGCATTTTACAAATAACTGCAGAAGGTGATTGAGTATGGATTTTGGGGTTACAAATAAATTTTAATGAGTAGGTGAATTTGCAAATTTAGAAGCCACAAATAATGAAGACAAACTGCATATAAGAAAGGATTTGTCGCTGGGATTTTACCTGAGACTGATTAAGCAATCTCTGTAAGCATGTTGACCTTCTATCTGATGGAGGAACTTGAATTCACAGATCAGGGAGTTGGTAAGGGAAGATGAATGTAAAGCAGCAGAGAGCAACAGTGAACTAGAACCCATAAGCGAGAGCCAGCGTCCAGGAAGATCAGCTTAAACCAACATCAGTTGGTTTTTTTTTTTTCCCCAGAATCTTGCTTTATTGCCCAGGCTAGAGAGCAGTGGTGCAATCTTAACTCACTGCAGCCTTTATCTCCAGGGCTCAAATGATCCTCCCACCTCAGCCTCCCAAGTAGGTAGGACTACAGGCACACACCACCATGCTCAGCTATTTTTTTTATTTTTAGTACAGATGAGGTCTCACTGTGTTGCCCAGGCTGATCTTGAACTCTTGGGCTCAAGCAGTCCTCCCACCTTGGCTTCGCAAATTGCTGAGATTACAGGCATGAGCCACCACACCCAGCCCATATCAGTTCTTGTTGCTTTTGTCTTTGGTGGTGCAGATGTTCTGTAGAAGCCCTGTGCCCTTTGTCATGGAGCTAAACACATGCACCAGCTCCAGGAGTCAGAGATGCTGAAGGAGAATTCACGGGAAGGTGGAGCAGATGCGGTCCTAGCTATTGCCTCACAACACAAGGCAAGCCAGCAGATAAGTGACAATGTGTGTGAACTAGAAATAGCTGCTACTTCACTTTACCTCTCCAAATTTTCCACCAAAAAAATCTCCTTTGTGTATCATCCTAACCAGAAACAGACAGTAAAGGAATTCTGGAAATGTAGTTCAACTAACCAAATTGACACATTCAAAAGCCACCACAGTCTACCTTTTGCCAAGTTGGCACGCAGGTACATCTCCTCAAAATAGACTTATTCTCCAAATAAAGGCATTAATATTAAGAAAATCATGCTTCTACTAAAAATGATACAGCCATTGAAATGTACAATAGAAAACACACTACAATCGAAAACACAATAACCCCTTTCCTAAAAGAGGGAACAAGATCCCTTTATTGTCCTTTGCTGATGTTCATTCTTCTCACCCTTGGTACGCTGTAATTTAAATATCAGAAATAAAAGTTAATTACTTTTGACAGTGCATTATATCAGATGGTAAGGGAATAAGAGAACATGAAAACAAAAATATTTTGCTTATATGCATATACAAAAATATTCATATCAAAATAAATACTACTACATGCTTTATTTTTATAATCAATTATGTACTTATAGCTGGTATTTATAACTCCCTTTTTCTGCTACCCATTTAGTACAGATATACCTCAAATATATAGGGAGATCCATTCTATACAACTGCAATAAAGCAAATATTTAATGGCATCTAAAATGGTGAATCCTTTCCAGAAGGATTTCAAGTAACTTTGCCCCAGATTCATCAGCAGAATCACTGTCTCTGGCATCTATAGCCTTACAAAATGTATTTCTTAAAATGAGAGTTAAAAGTTGAAATTACTCTTTGTTCCATGACTTACAGAATGGATGTTTTGTTAGCAGTCATGAAAACAACGTGAATCTCCTTGTGTATCATCAGAGCTCTTGCAAGACCAGGTCTGTTGTCAAGGAGCAGTAATTCAAATGCATCTTCTCTGAGCAGTAGGTCTTAATGTCAGGCGTAAAATCTTCAGTGAACCATGCTATAAACAGATGTGCTGTCATCCAGGCTTTGTTGTGCCACTTATAGAGAGCATAGGTACAGGAGATTTAGCATAATTCTTAAGGGCCCTAGGGCTTTTGGAATGGTTAATGAGCATTGGCTTCAACGTAAATCATCAGTTTCATTATCCCGTAACAAGAGAATCAACCTGTCTCTTGAAGCTTTGAAGCCAAACATTGACTTCCCCTCTCTAGCTATGAAAGTCCTAGATGACCATCATCTTCTTCCAGTAGAAAGCTGTTTTGTCTACATTGAAAATTTGTTGTTTTCGTGTAACTACCCTCATCAATGGTGTCAGCTAGATTTCTGGATAACTTGCTGCAGCTTCTACATCAGCACTTGTTGCATCACCTTGCACTTTTATGTTACAGAAATGGCTTCCTTCCTTCCTTAAATCTCATGAAGCAACCTCTGCTAGCTTCCAACTTTTCTTCTGCATCTTCCTCTCCTCTCAGCCTTCATAGAATTGAAGAGAATTAGGACCTTGCTCTGTTTTAGGATTTGGCTTAAGGGAATGTTGTGGCTGGTTTGATAGTCTAACCAGACCACTCAAACTTTCTCCAGATCAGCAATAAAGCTGTTTAGCTTTCTTATCATTCGTATGTTCACTAGAGTAGCACTTTTAATTTCCTCAAGGACTTTTCTTTTGCATTCACTACTTGGCTAACTGTTTAGGGCCTAAATTGCAGCCTATCTTGGCTTTTGACATGCATGCCATCCTAAGCTGAATCATTTTTAGCTCTTGATTTAAGTGAGAGATAGGCAACTCTTCCTTTCACCTGAATTCTTGAAGGCCATTGTAGAGTTATTCATTGGCCTCATTTCAATATTGTTGTGTTTCAAGGAAAAGGGAGGTCCCGGGAGAGGGATAAGGACAGGAAAACTGCTCAGTTTGTAGAACAGTCAGAACATCTTTATCAATTAAGTTCATTGTCTTCTATGGGTGCAGTTTATGGCACCTCAAAACAATTACAATAGTAACATCAAAGATGTCTGATCAAGGCTGGGTGTGGCGCTTCATACCTGTAATCCCAGTACTTTGGGACGCCAAGATAAGAGGATTGCTCAGAGCCAGAAGTTTGATACAAGCCCAGCTACAAAGCAAGACCCTGTCTCTACAAAAAAAATAAAATTTACATTAGCCAAGCATGGTGTTGCAAACCTACAGTCCTGGCTACTCAGGAGGCTGAGCAAGAGGATCACTTGAGCCTAAGAGTTCAAAGCTATGGTGAGCCAGTGAGCTAATTGTACTACTACATTCCAACCTGGAAGACAAAACAAGAACCTGTCTCTTAAAAAATGAAAGAAAGAAAGAAATCACTAATCACAGATCACCATAACATATGATAATAATGGAAAAGTTTATTGGCACAGAGTGGCACAAAGTGAGCACATGCTGTTAGAAAAGTGGTGCCGATAGACTTCCTTGACAGCAGTGTTGCCAGAAAGCTTGAATTGGTTTAAAAAAAAAAGCAGTCTGTGAAGTGCAATAAACTGAAACACAATGAAATGAGCCGTGCCTGTATTCCCTTTGTTCTCAGCAAGCACTTTAATTGGTCAAGATTCTTTGCCTGGTGAAATGACCCACACCTTCATTTTCAAAGAGTCTCGGCCATTAGCAGCCCTGCCTGAATTAGGTGATCATACTATGCTATTGACCGTAGTTACAGAAAGTACTTACAGGTACTCTAGAGCATTTCCTGCATTGCAGAGATATTACTTATTACCCATTGTGTAGTAGTAACTCAGTTTTCTCTTGGAAATCAGGATTTATCACCCATTCAGTATTGTGCTCCCATCCAGTACATCCATGTTCTGTTGATTCAGTGGCATAAGAAGACCAAAGTGGCAAGATTGTCATCTCAACTTCCAGTTCAAAGGAATTATTGTTATGTCACCAAATGGAAACATTTCTCCTTTTTGGAAATAAGACCTTTAGACCAGCGGAGTCTAAAGTCATGAGCATGGGAAGCAAGATCTCCACTAGTAGATCACTAAGGGTAATAGGTAAAGAAGGCAGTCCCATATCTGTGCCTTTATTCCCAGATTTGGGGCAAAGAGCAACATATATTAAATGCTGACTTAGAGAAAAGTTCATATTTGGAAGATATTGTCCAACCACACAAGGTTTTGTCGCCTAACAGGCACAGCTGAGTCTTCAAAAGGTCATTTCAGCATTCTGTCAAGCCTGCTGTTTAAGGATAATGGGGAACATGGTAAGAGCAGTGAATGATGGCAGACCTCAGGCTCTCTCTTGTCCTCTAGCTTGCTCACTGTGATGGGAGCCTGCTGCCAGATTGTAAGCTGCCCTGTGGGGAGGGCCACATGGCAAGGAACTGTTATCTCGGGCCAAAAGCCAGGGAGGACCTGAGGTCCACTAACAGCCATGTGAGTGACCTTAGAAGAAGATTCTCCCCCACTTGAGCTTTGAAATAACTACAACCCCAGCCTTGATTGTAGTCTTGTGAGAGACCCTGAGCTAACATCACTCAGCTGTGTTCAGATTTATGACCCGCGAAAAGTGTGAGATGATAAATGTACATTGTTTTAAGCTGCCAATCTTTGGGGATATTTGACCCATAGCAGTAGATAATTAATGCAACAGGCTTAAACTTCAACTCAGGTGGTTGCACAAGCCTACATAGAAACAACCTTAAACCTTTTTTGAGACTAAAGCCTTGTAAGGCTCCTCTTATACCTGATACCTTAGGGTGTAAAAGCACCTCTTTCCAAAGATGCACTAAAATGCTTGTTGAAGACAATTTGTTCCTACCCTTGCTCCCCTACTGATTAGACTTTGCTGTATAATTTATCAAAAGGAAGATTAAATGTCTTCTTTATCCTACTTGATCTTATACTAAGTCACTTTTATTACTCAGATCTTCTCTATTTTTTTTCCTTAGGACAGAAGTTGATATTATGTATAACTTTTCATTCCTTGTGGGGTTTTTGTTCTAACAGATTTGGCCTAAATCAGAAGGAAATTTTATATACATTCCCCAGCGCATATCCATTTATTGCTGAAGTATTTATTGACACTTACTGTGTTCCAGGCTTTATTCTGGAAGCTGGAGACATAGCAGTGAACAAGAGCTCATCACAACTATCTTGTTCTCCATAATTTTAAGAAAGAATGAATTGCTTTCTGGGCCTGTGCTAGTGAAAAGGCTCTTCGTTTAGAAGCTGGCATCAACATTAGGTTGCATTAAGTAAGAAGTGAGTTAGGGCCAGCACCCCCAGCATTTCCCACACCTTCTTATAAAAACTTACCAATTCTTCAGCCCAACCTAGTGATTTCCCGCAGAGTCCATAAAAATATGTTGAACAAGATTAATTGTTCAACATTAATTGATTGAGGTGATGGCAGGAAATTCAAATATAAGCAACCAAAGGTTGTTAAAGTACCTTTGAAATGCCTGAATTTCTCTGATCAATAATTTCTGTTATGTGTAATTTAAAGTGTTAATATTATTTGAAGATTTCAACATGTGTACTGGCCACAAATTAGTACTGGATACTTAGGCTGTATATTCAATTTAATGAAGATTTTTTTTTCCAGCTTTCTAAATTGTAAGGTGTTTTTCTTCTTATGATATGCTTTGATCTTTTGACTGAAAGTTTCACAGTGATAGCAGTAAAATTACCTGTAAACATACATACTCATTTAATACTCTGTTTTTTCCTTTATAACTAGATTTGCTTTCTTTTACAAAAAAAAAGGTATGTATTGGTCATAATAACTTCATTTTATGAATGTTACTTACCTGTGTATATATAATTTAAAAGCAGATATAAAATTTTAAATTTTTACATAAAATATCACTGATATGTTCAGCATAGTTATATTGTTTTAATTTTTCTTTTTAAAATTTTACTTAAGTAGAGACATGGTCTCACAATGGTGTCCAAGTTGGCCTTGTTGTTCACTATTAATGTGTAGGGATGGCCAGGCACAGTGGCTCATGCCTTTATTCCCAGCACTGTGGGAGGCCAAAGCTTGAGGATCACTTGAGGCCAGAAGTTTGAGACCAGCCTGGGTAACATAGCAAAACCGCATCTCCACTAAGAAATTTTTTAAAAATTAGCTAGGCATGGTGGCATGAGCCTGTAGTCCTAGCTACCTGGGAGGGTGATGTGGGAGGATTGCCCAAACCCAGGAGCTCAAGGCTGCAGTGAGCTGTGATCGTACCACTGCATTCCAGGTATATCTCCACCATCCACTATGTACTTAGATATATTTACATGTAGTGGATATTTGAGAGGTCTTGAATCTATGTCATGTGACCGGATTCTCACTTCTTTTTATTTACAGTGTTTTCCTTTTGTTGTTGTTGCCTTCTAAAGACCAAATCTCTTTTTTTTCTTCCATAGGTTATTGGGGTACAGGTAGTATTTGGTTACATGAGTAAGTTCGTTAGTGGTGATTTGTGAGATTTGGGTGCACCCGTCACCTGAGCAGTATTTGTAGTCTTTTATTTCTGTGTACATTGCACCATCTTTGTGGTCTTTTATTTCTTGCCCCACTCCCAGTCTTCCCCTCAAGTCCCTAAAGTCCATTGTATCATTCTTATGCCTCTGTGTCCTCATAGCTTAGCGCTCACATATCAGTGAGAACATAGGATATTTGGTTTTACATTTCTGAGTTACTTCACTTAGAATAATAGTCTCCAATCTCATCCAGGTCTCTGCAAGTGCTGTTAATTCATTCCTTTCTATGGTTGAGTAGTATTCCATTATATATATACACACACACACCCCCACAGTTTTTTATCCACTTGTTGATTGATGGACATTTGAGTTGGTTCCACAATTTTGCAGTTCTGAATTGTGCTGCTATAAACATATGTGTGCAGGTGTCTTTTTCATATAATGATTTATTTTCCTCTGGGTAGATACCCAGGAGTGGGATTGCTGAATCATAGGTAGTTCTACTTTTAGTTCTTTAAGGAATCTCCACACTGTTATCCATAGTGGTTGTACGACTTTACATTCCCACCAGCATCCACACCAGCATCTATGTTTTTAAAATTTTTTATTATGGCTGTTCTTGCAGGAGTAAGGTATAGCACATTGTGGTTTTGATTTGCCTTTCCCTGATCATTAGTGATCATTAGTGATGTTGAGCATTTTTTCATGTTTGTTGGCCATTTGTATATCTTCTTTTGAGAGTTGTCTATTCATGTCCTTAGCACACTTGTTGATGGGATTGTTTCTTTTTTACTGATTTGTTTGTGTTTATTGTAGATTCTAGATTAGTCCTGTGTCAGATGTATAGATTGTGAAGATTTTCTCCTGCTCTGTGGGTTGTTCTGTTTACTCTGCTAACTGTTCCTTTTGCCATATAAAAGCTCTTTAGTTTAATTAAGTAACAGTTATTTATCTTTGTTTTTATTGCATTTGCTTTTGGGTTCTTGGTCATGAAATCCTTGCCTAAGCCAATGTCTAGAAGGGTTTTTCCAGTGTTATCGTCTAGAATTTTTATAGTTTTCAGTCTTAAGTTTAAGTCCTTAATCCATCTTAAGTTGATTTTTTATAAGGTGAGAGATGAAGATCCAGTTTCATTCTCCTACATGTGGCTAGCCAATTGTTCCAGTATAATTTGTTGAATAGGGTGTCCTTTCCCCACTTTGTGTTTTTGTTTGCTTTGTCAAAGATCAGTTGACTGGAAGTATTTGAGTTTATTTCCAGGTTCTCTATTCTGTTCCGTTGGTCTATGTGCCTATTTTTATACCAGTACCATGCTGTTTTGGTGACCTTATCACATAGTTTGAAATCAGGTAGTATGATGCCTCCAGATTTGTTCTTTTTGCTCAGTCTTGTTTTGGCTGTGCAGGCTCTTTTTGGTTTCATGTGAATTTTAGAATTGTTTTTTACAGGTTTGTGAAGAATGACAGTGGTATTTTGATTGATAGTGCATTGAATTTACATATTGCTTTTGTCAGTATGGTCAGTGTTCACATTATTGATTCTACCCATCCATGAGCATGGGATGGGTTTCCATTTGTTTGTGTTGTCTTATGATTTCTTTCAGCAGTGTTTTGAAGTTCTCCTTGTAGAGGCCTTCCGACTTCTTGGTTGGGTATATTCGTAAGTATTTTATTTTATTTTTTGCAGTTCTTGTCAAAGGGGTTGAGTTCTTGATTTGATTCTCCGCTTGGTTGCTGTTGATGTACAGAAGCGCTAATGATTTACGTACATTAATCTTTTAGCTGGAAACTTTGCTGAATTCTTTCATCAGTTCTAGGAGCTATCTAGAGGAGACTTTAGGGATTTCAAGGTAAACAATCATATTGTCAGCAGTGACAGTTTGACTTCCTCTTTAACAATTTGGATGTCCTTTGTTTCTTTCTCTTTTCTGGTTGCTCAGTCTAGGATTTCCAGTACTATGTTTAAGAGGAGTGGTGAGAATGGGCATCCTTGCTTTGTTCCAGAGGAAATGCTTTCCACTTTCCTCCATTCAGTATTATGTTGGCTGTGGGTTTGTCATAGATGGCTTTTATTACATTAAGGTATGTCCCTTGTATGCCAATTTTGCTGAGAGTTTTAATTATAAAGTGGTGCTGGAATTTGTCGAATGCTATTTCTGCATCTGTTGAGATGATTATGTGATTTTTGTTTTTAATTCTGTTTATGTGGTATATCACATTGATTGACTTGTGTATGTTAAACCATCCCTGCGTCCCTGGTGTGAAACCCAGTTGATCATGGTGGGTAATCTTTCGGTTATGTTGTTGGATTCAGTTAGCTAGTATTTTGTTAAAGATTTTAGCATCTATGTTTACCAAGAGTGTTAGTCTGTAGTTTTTGTTTTGGGTTATGTCCTCTCCTGGTTTGGGTATTCTAGTGATGCTGGCTTCATAGGATGAATTAGGCAGAGTTCCTTCTTTCTCAGTCTTATGGAATAGTGTCAAAAGGGTTGGTAGAAATTCTCTTTGAATGTCTGTTAGAATTCTGCTGTGAATCCATCTGGTCCTGGACATTTTTTGTTGGTAATTTTTTTATTACCATTTCAATCTCACTGCTTGTTATTGGTCTGTTCATGGTATCTAATTTTCCTTATTTACTAAGAGGATTGTATTTTTCCAGGAATTTATCTGTCTCTTCTAGGTTTTCTAATTTATGTGCATAAAGATGTTCATAGTAGCCTTGAATGATCTTTTGTATTTCAGTGGTGTTAGTTGTAATATCTCCTGTTTTGTTGCTTAGTGAGGTTATTTGGATTTCTCTCTTCTTTTCTTGGTTAATCTTGCCAATGGTCTATTTTATTTATCTTTTCACACAATCAGCTTTTTGTTTCATTTATCTTTGTATTGTTTTCTTTTGTTTCCATTTGATTTCATTCTGCTCTGAGCTTGATTATTTCCTTTCTTCTGCTGGGTTTAGGTTTTATTTGTTCTTATTTCTCTAGTTCCTTGAGATGTGACCTTAGAATGTCAGTTTTTACTCTTTCAGTCTTTTTGATATAGGTGTTTAGGACTATGGACTTTCCTCTTAGCACCGCCTTTGCTATATCCCAGAGATTTTGGTAAGTTGTTTCATTATTGTTGTTCAGTTCAAAGAATTTTTTAATTTCCATTTTGATTTCATTTTTAACCCAGTACTCATTCAGGAACAGATAATTTAATTTCCATGTATTTGCATGGTCTTGGAGTTGATTTTCAGTTTTATTCCACTGTGGTCTGATTGAATGCTTGATATAATTTCAATTTTCTTAAGTTTACTGAGGCTCATTTTATGGCCTATCATATGATCTAGCTTAGAGAAAATTCCATGCACTGTTGAATAGAATGTGTATTCTGTGGTTGTTGGATGAAATATTCTGTATATATCTGATAAGGCCATTTGTACCAAGGTATAGTTTAAATCTATTGTTTCTTTGTTGACTTTCTGGCTTGATGACCTGTCTAGTGCTGTCAGTGGATTATTGAAGTCCCGCACTATTTTTGTATTGCTGTCTATCTCATTTTTAAGGTAGATTAGTAATTGTTTTTATAAATTTGGGCGCTCCAGTGTTAGATACATATATATGTTTAGGACTTTCCTGTTTGACAAGGCCTTTTACCATTATATAATATTCCTCTGTCTCTTTTAACTGTTGTTGCTTTTAAGCTTGTTTTGTCTGATACAAAAATAGCTACCCCTGCTCGCTTTTGGTGTCCATTTGCATGAAATGTCATTTTCTACCCATTTACTTTAAGTTTATGTGAGTCCTTATGTGTTAGGTGAGTCTCCAGAAGGCAGCAGGTAGTTGGTTGGTGAGTTCTTACCCATTCTGAGATTCTGTATCTTTTAAGTGAAATATTTAGGTCATTTTATTCCATGTTAGTATTGAAATGTGAACCATTGCATTCCTTCTGCTCTTTGTTCCCTGTGTACTTGTTCTTTTGTTTTTGCTTTTTAACTTGTATTTTTGTTTTGTAGATCCTGTGTGATTTAAGTGTTAAAGAGGTTCTGTTTTGATATGTTTTCAGGATTTGTTTAAAGATTTAGAGCTCTTCTTCTTAGCAGTTCTTGTAGTGGTGGCTTGGTAATGGTGAATTCTTTCAGCATTTATCTGAAAAAGACTGTATCTTTTATATGTGATGCTTAGTTTCACTGGATACAGAATTGCTAGCTGATAATTGTTTTGTTTGAAGAGGCGAAATAAAGAAAGGGCCCCAATCGCTTCTGGTTTGTAGGGTTTCTGCTGAGAAATCTGCTGTTAATCTGATAGGTTTTTCTTTTCTTTTTTCTTCTTTTCCTTTTTTTTTTCTTTGAGACAAAGTCTTGCTCTGTGGCCAGGCTGGAGTATAATGGCAGGTTCAAGCGATTCTCCTGCCTCAGCTTCCTGAGTAGCTGGGACTACTGATGCATGCCACCATACCCAGCTAATTTATTTTATTTTAGTAGAGACAAGGTTTCACCATTTTGGCCAGGATTATCTCCATCTCTTGACTTCATGATCCACCTGCCTCAGCCTCCCAAAGTGCTGGGATTACAGGCGTGAGTCACCATGCCCAGCCTCTGATAGGTTTTTCTTTATAAGTTACCTGGTGCTTCTGTCTTATGGCCCTTAAGATTCTTTCCTTCGTCTTAACTTTAGATAACCTGATGACAATGTGCCTAGGCAATGATCTTTTTGCAATGAATCTCCCGGGTGTTCTTTGTGCATCTCGTATTTGGATGTCTAGGTCTCTAACAAGGCTGGGGAAGTTTTCCTCAATTATTCCCCCAAACATGTTTTCCAAGCTTTTAGAATTCTCCTCTTCAGGAATACCAATTATTCTTAGGTTTGGTCATTCAACATAATCCCAGACTTCTTGAAGGCTTTGTTCATATTTTCTTATTCTTTTTTCTTTATCTTTTTTGGATTGGGTTAATTCGAAGACGTTGTATTGGGTTAATTCAAAGACCTTGTCTTTGAATTCTGAATTTCTTTCTTCTGGTTGTTCAATTCTATTGCTGAGACTTTCCAGAGCATTTCACATTTCTAAAAGTGTGTCCAAAGTTTCCTGAATTCTTGATTGTTTTTTCTTTAAGCTATCTATTTCCTTGAATATTTCTCCCTTCATTTCTTGTACTGTTTTTTGAATTTCCTTGTATTGGGTTTTGCCTTTCTCTGGTGCCTCCCTGATTAGCTTAATAACTGACCTCCTGAATTCTTTTTCAGGGAAATCAGGACTTTCTTCTTGGTTTGGATCCATTGCTGGTGAACTAGTGTGATTTTTGGGGTGTGTCGAGAAGCCTTGTTATGTCATATTACCAGAGTTAGTCTTCAGGTTCCTTTTCATTTTGGTAGTCCCTGTCCAAGGGAAGGTCTAGGGCTAAAGGCTTTCATTTAGATTTTTTTGTCCCGTGGGTGTTCCCTTGATATACTACTCTCCCCCTTTTCCTATGGATGTGGTTTCCTATGAGCCGAACTGCAGTGATTATTGTCTCTCTTCTGGGTCTAGCCACCCAGCTAGTCCGCCTGGTCCGGGCTGATAGTAGGCGCTGTCTGTATAGGGTCCTGTGATGTGAACTGTCTATGGGATTCTCAGCCATGGATACCAGCACCTGTTCCAATGGAGGTGGTGGTATGAGGTGTGCAATGAACTCTGTAAGTAACGGTTCTTAGTTTTGGTGGTTTAATGCTTTATTTTTCTGCTTGTTGGCATCCTGCCAGGAGGTGGCGCTTTCCAGAGAACATCAGCTGTAGTAATATCCAGAGGGACTGGCAGTGGGCAGGGCCCTAGAACTTCCAAGATTATATGCCCTTTGCCTTCAGCTACCAAGGTGGGGAGGAAAGGACCATCATATGGGGCAGGGCTAGGCGTGTCTGAACTCAAACTCTCCTTGGGTGGGTCTTGCTGTGGCTACTATGGGGCCTGAGGGTGAGATTCCCAGGTCACTGGAGTTGTGTACCTAGAAGGATTATAGCTGCCTCTGCTGAGTCATGCAGTTGTCAGAGAAGTGGGGGAAAGTGGGCAGTCACACACCTCACCCAGCTCCCACATAAATTGAAGGGCTGGTGTCACTCCCACCATGCCCCCGACAACAGCTCCAAGTCTATGTGCAGGCGGAGGGCAAAACAGGCTTGGAAAATTGCCCCAGGTTACTTGCCTCCCAGCTGCAAAAGAAAAGGGCTTGGTTCTTCCCCTGCCCGTGGAGTCTGCACATCAGATTTGCACCCTTCCCCAAGTTCTGGCCAGGAGGCTTCTCACCCTGTTCAAATTGTTACAAAGTTCAGCTAGAGATTTTCTTCCCTGTGTGGAACTTTACCCCCTACTCCTCTGGCCGCCCTCTCGATGGATCCCTGTGGTGCCAGTCAGGTGTGGCCTACTAGGGGACCCAGTGATCTCCCAGGGCCTTTCTGCTGCTTCCCCTACCCCTGTATTTTGCTTGGCTCTCTAAATCAACTCAACTCCAGGTAAGGTCAGAAACGGCTCCCATAAATAGACCTTCATTTTCTCCAGTGGGGGTGTGTGTTCAGGAGTGGAGGCTCTTCCTTTCCCACTTCCGCAATTGCGGCACTCACAGTCTTTGGTGTATCTCCCAGGTCCTTCAGGACCAGTCCTCTGCCTTCAGAGTGTTTGTGGGTCCTCTCAGGATTCAATCTGGAGCTAGAATTCACAATGCAAGCCTGCCTGCTGCTCTGTCCAGAGCTGCAATCTAGTCCTGACCCTTATCAGCCATGATGATCTTACCTCCTCTAAAGACCAGTTCGCACTCTATTTATAGTATTTTCTACTCGTAAAATTGGCCAATTAAGGGTACTGTTATTCAGAGAAGGATGTATCAGTTAAGAGGATCTGTATTTATTTTATAGTCCATATTTTAATTATTTATTATAAAGTGGCAACAGTAAATATCTGCCTCACTTATCTTGTATAAATATGAGGATAATTTGTATATTTTCAGAGGAACACTTTGAATTCGTCAGAAGAAAGACACTGAAGAATTCCGCAGGGTACTATATATTATTACCATTAGGTATTTTAAACTTTAAGCCTATAATTTAAAACTATTATTGATTATTTTAGTTCTATAGGACTGAAAAGACATTTGCAGAAATACTGTCTTTGATTTTCCTGTTTCTATTTATATTTATAGAGAACAAATAACTTATTTATTTAGGCTTTCCTATGTTGTCTGGGGCATTGATAAGGATCACAAAATATTATACAAAAATCAGAGCCACAGAAAGATGATAGAAAGTATAGTGAATAAATTAAAAGGAAAACTAATAGTTGAAAGAAAAATATTCATAGTACATAGAAATATGGAAGCAATAAAACTGAGAAAGACATTGGGTAGCAGTTAGTAAAATTAGAAATGATGTGCTGCTCCCCCAAAATATTCCATTTAATATTTGACTGTGTATGAGGAGGTATTCTGTCAGGGTAAGAGGAAAGGAAAATATAAATGTTTGAAAACAGACAAGGTTGTAGAGCATTGATATCTTCTGACTTCTTACAAGTCTGCACAGCTTGCTTTGGGTGGTGCATGAATGACAAGATACTCTTTGCTAGATTGGTTCTACCTGTTTGGAGAGGTGCTGCTGCTAAGGCTTACAGACTTTCAGCCCCCTCCAGATGTGCTCCCTAAGTGCCTTTGAGTATGTCCATTCAGTCTTCATTCAGTGAGTAGTTGTTGTGTTCAAGGCATTGCTCTGGGTACCAGGGATACAGGAGTGAATTGCAATGGATGAAGGTCCCACACAGAGCTTACCTTCTAGTAAGGGAGACTAACAGTAATCAAGATAAGTTAGAAAAGTATATAGGATGTCAGAAGTTTATTGTCTATCTGCCCTATTAGAATGCAAGTTCCATGTAGGAGAAAATAAAAAGCAGGAAGGGAGGACCTGTAGAATGTGTTTCTGGAAGAGAGGGTAAGAATTTTGAGACCCATTTACCAGTCCTTTAAGATTTATGGTAACCATAAAGCAGAGTTACCAGCAAATTATTATTATTCCACTACTCCTAAGGTGGCTATAGGAAAGTATAGCATTTGTGCAGCACTCTAGGCATCACAGACAAGGTTACTTATATCCAGAGGTAGATGGACAGAGTCCTGCGACCTCACATGCCTCCTATCTGACCTGATGAGGGGATCTTGACCTGCGTTTGGCCACTTTGTACCAGGCACACAGGACAGAAAGCTCTACTTTACAGTGCTATCTTTTTGCATGATATTGAGGAAAAACTTGAACCTAGATTCACTAAAACTATGTTGTCTAAAGGCCTGATGCCTGTCAGCATATTTTCTCCCAGAGCTAATAACCATCACATTATTCCTTGCTCCTACTATAGCTTAGATGGGCATTTTTCTATTATTTCAGCTTTCCTAGAACACTTGATATAAATCTAGGCACTTCAAAATTAGAAAGATAACAATACAGTAAATGTATTTTAAAAAAAAAAAAAGAGGAAGAAGAAGAAAGGAAAAGGAAAACAACCAAGCATAGTAGATTCTTCTGGGTTAAGAATTAAACTTGAGAAGTTCCTCTGTTTAGATGGTCCTTTCTTGGGTTTGGATGTAAAGAAGGGGAACATCGATCATAGGTACCTAACTACTAAGCGCTGTTTTCTCACCAGAACATGAAGTGGAAATTTAGCAATTATGAGATGAATTTGAATTGTAGGCAACCTGCTAATGTAACCCTAATTTTTATTTGCTTAAATAGTCCAAATTGACTGTTTGCACTGACTAAACTTACTGAATATTTGCTAAATAGTCACTTCCCTTTATTGCTGAAAATACCTCTTGAGGATATGCCACTAAGTTATATCTCTTCTTTGTTAGTGAATAATCACTTCCTTCTAAAGATAGCAATGAAAAATCAACAGTAATTGCCTGTAGAATGTGGTGTCACTCAGAATGTGTAGACAGGTTGAGTTGTCTAATATGTTTTTAGACACAGCTCAAATTAATTAGGTAATTGAAAATCTATACTTTGCCTTGTAAACATATCTTAAAATTCAAGGCATATTAGCATATATGATACTGTACCACTTTTGACTGTGTGTTCTGCTCAAGAAGTATAGCATTCCTGTTTGCATTCGAAAGTTATTCTAATTCTTTAAGTGATGTTTTCATGAACTAAATAACACTTTTCAGACAGTTTTTATTGCTGTAGAATTAACCTTATAGCTTTTCATTATCAGTTCCTCTATTCAGTGTTGTTTGCTACCTTATAATTATTAGTTAATGTAAGGGATGAGTATTGTAAAAGTTGACCACCAGGAACTCTGTGTTTTTAGTTTATCATTCATAATAAATAGTTGGAATCAGGAACTCTAAGGAAGTAATTAATTAAGTATAAAATCTTTATTTATATTGATTATTAGTATATATAATCATTTGCCCTGATTATATATATTTTATCAGATCCAATATTATCCTGTGACTTTGACTTTTTCAGTTTTCCAGTAATCACAGTGAATATAAGTAGTCTCACTCCAAAAATCTCACTTTAAAAAAATTAAAAATAGCCACCATGTTTTTTACAGCTTTCTGAACCAATTTGTGAAAAATCCTTAGAAGAATTTGGCAGTAAAGGTGGCAACTCTCCTTTTCCTGAGCTAACTCTTCTCTTTGAAGATAAATTTTTTTAACTAATTATTTTGGGAATGCTTTCAGATAAATTACTGAATAATAAGAATTTGTGTTTGTACTTTAAGTTTTAAGTTCTGAGTTAATATGGAAATACTATTCCTTTTACTCTCCCATAAGACTATCTTTATGGCTCTTAATGTTCTGACTGTAATTGTTGGAAAAATAAGTCAGGGACCAGTGGTACCTAAGACAGACATTTTCATCCTTTGTATCATATGTTAAGTCTTGATCTCCCTTCCTATGGCTGTCTTTGCTTCATTTGCCCTCTGTTAGTTCTGTCTTGGTCACTGCCCTTGATGAACTTCTCTATGTCTATTGATTGACTCTCTCATCTGGCTTCGTCTCTATGCCATGTCTTTCTGGCTTCCAGTCTCCCTGACCTAAAGACTCTGCCCTTCCAACCCATGGAATCACATCTTCCGCAGCCCACATGTTTCTTTTTAACCTTGCCTGACTGTGGTTTGCCTGGGTTCACTTGCCCTTCACTTCCCTCTGACATGGACTCTGTGTCTCCCTCAAGCCACAACGCTCACTGTCTGCTCTCACCTATACATTCTGTGTGCCCCTATGTACACCCGCTCAGCCTGCCCTGTCTGGCTTGTCATAGACAGACTGACAGCAAGTCACCACTGATAAATCTGTCTGCATCCCCAAATATTCTCAAAACATACATCTTCAGAGAAACTGCATTGCTTTCTAGAGGTGATTTGGGATATCTAAAATATATCTTCTTTGGTACTAAAATGAATATTCAAAGTGAACATTAGACACTATGCTTAAGCCAAATATTATTTATTTATAAAATCTCAAGATGTTCAGACATGATTATCAGCACTTTAAAAGTAGGAGTGTAATTTTTTAAGTTTTTGCTATTTTATATTTCTTAAAATATAGTCTCTTTCCAAAGGAAAATAGTTCTATTTAATGATAAATTTTAGAGATAATTATTTTGAATTAATGACTTTGTTTGGATTAATGAGTTTGTAGGTGCAAAAAATTAATTTAACTGACATTTGATGTCTAAATGTTCTTTGAGACCTTGTGCTAGCATTTCTGATCATAGTGCCTGGTAATGTCCCCTTCAGCCATACATACATGACCCTAACTGTTTGATATATTATACCAATAAGTGAAAAAATCTTTTACCAGCTAGTTTATAGATTTTTGCATAACTGCATGGCACAATCCTTGATATAATTCAATTGTATTATATAATTTCTTAATTTCTGAAGTGCTATAGAAGCAACTTGTTAAAGAAAAAGTTGGGGCAAAAAAAATACACCCCATTTTAAGCATTTTGTAGCAATGATTTCTATAAATGAGACTTTTTAAGGAGACCCTAAGTTAAAAGTTATGAATAATCGAAAATCAAAATTGGCATGAAGATTCTTTTGTTATTTGCTAATTTCAGACTTTTAAAATTTTATTTACTTTTAAAAAATTCTCTTCAAAGAAATTTAGTCTTCTACCAGTTTTAATGTATGTGAAATCATAGCTGGACCTCTCCTTCTCAGTTTTCAGATGGAAGGTGATTAAATTTAGAATAAGACATTGTTGGCTTTGTATGATGGCTCTTGACTATTATCCCAGCACTTTGGGAAGCAAAGGTGGGAGGATGGCTTGAGGCCAGGAATTTGAGACCAGCCTGGGCAACATAGTGAGACCCCATCTTTACAAAAAAATTAAAAAATTTAGCTAGGCAGGGTGGAGCATGCTTGTCGTCCCAGCTACCTGGGAGGCTCAGATGGACAGATCGCTTGAGGCTGGGAGGTTGAGGCTGCAGTGAGCCTTGGGTGTGCCACTGCACTCCAATTTGGGCAACAGAATGAGACCCATCTCAAAAATAAAATAAGACATGGTTAATTTAAGGCCACAGATATAACCAATATGTAGGAAAGCTATTATATGTGAAATTAGAGCTACTCAGTTTGAATATTACAGTTTAGATTTTTGACATATTTTTCTTATGAAGGAATAATCACTCAGAGTTATTTGTTTTTGTTTTTCATTAAAAACAATATCAAGCATGTAAAAATCAGCATAAATAGCAAAGCTTGAAATTTTAAATAATCCAGATTTAATTATTTTACCAATTAGTTAATTGTGTTCAATTCATTCCCCCCAAATTAGAGTCTAATTCAATGTCTTACCCTAATTTGAGTTATTCTTGATTCTCTTGAGGCAAGAAACTAACTGTAAATATTTATTCTTGAATTCCACAGAGTTGTATTGAACACCTAATCTGTATTAGGCACCAATCTAGGTTTCAAGGGTATAAAAAGTATTAGACATGACTTCTGCTCCTAAGGAGCTCACAGCCTCCTAGAAGTCTTGTGTTTATTGCAAAGATTGGGAGTGAGGAGGTAAAGGGCTATGAGCTCTTTTAGAATCCACGAGTAACACCTAGTTCACCAACATCCTTTTTTATTAAATGATACTCTAATGTCCTTGAAGAGTTAATGCATCTTCTGAAAGTATCCACTTTTCTTCCATCATGAAAACCTGACTTTTTACTCTAGATATTCAAAACAAGCATATTTTAACTTGTCATTTCAAACTCTTTAATAGTAGTATGTCAGCATTTATCAGGAGGATCTTTGGATTTATCATGACCGTGGGAAATTTGTATTTTCCCAAATATGTGGAGAATAGTGGCCAGATAAATATCCACAATCACATTGTCTGTAAAATAGGGTAAGACTAGTATCATCTCATTGAGTTCTATTAAGTGAAATAATTTATATAGAGTTCTTAAAACAGTACCTAGCATATAGTAAGAACTTCATAATTCCTCATTTTGCATAGTTTTGATATACACGAATTTCTATTACCATGGTTTAGTTAAATATCACCAGTTCCCCAGAAAACAAGGTTCAGAGTTCAGTTTCCACAACATACTATGTGTAATTGCATTAAGCACAAACTTTGCCACTAGCCCTTCAGTCCACAGATCTGTATGTGAATAACAGATGCACATCATGATCAATGGCCAATCACATTTTTTTTCAGACTCTGTCACTGATTGGTCATATCATATCTGCTTTCAGTTCATGTACAGAGGGCATTGTCTCCCATTTTACAAGAGTAAATGATCAAAAGAGAGACTTGGCCAATACAGATGACAGTGCAGTAAAGAAATGAAACACTGGAAATGAAGTTGAAAGTGTTTATAACAAAAAAGATGAAGATGTCCCAGAGAAAGTGACACTGGCAAACCAAAAAGCAAGACAAAAGACTCTCATGTTAAATGAACTCTCAGAGCTACTTCACAACATTGAAAGTGCAAAGGATAAAATGTTGAAAGCTGATTCAAGCTTAAGATTGTGACATTTTGCCCACACATAGAAAATATATGATTGAACCATACTATAAGTGATATAATTAAAAGAAGACAAGCACTGATCAATAGACTTTAAATAAGTTTTTTTCATAAAAATAAAGCACTTTAATTCTCAATGTTTCTAATGTTTAATTTACAGCATACTAAATGAAATTAGTTTTATTATTTTTTCTTTATTTTTAGCTGACTATAAGGATTTTTAACATTTTGACAAGAAAAATTTAGAGGTCATAGAAAACTCATAATTTATCCTGTTGATTATTATGATCACTTTGCATGGTTTCAGCTTGTATGGTCATTTTTATAGTTCTTCATTATCATGCAAAGCAAGGACATCCTGTAGTTGTTATTAACAATTATTTTGTCCACCAAGTCAAGTATTAACAATGTTAGGAAAACTGTTCATTGCTTTTCAGTATTTCAGAATTTTAAAACTTGGTAATTTCTTTCCTGCTTCTGTCTTTGTATTTTCAAAGTATGTACATTCTAATTCTAGTCAGGTCTTACCATAGGGTTACCCTCAGAGCCTCCTGATATATCTTACACAGAAGTACAGTATTTAAACTCCTTATTTTACTGTTCTTCAATATTCTACCCTATTTCTTCATTCTCCTAAATCTTCTACCTTAATTCCATGCTAACCTTTTCCTTTTATTTTTTTTTTCTGCTAATATCCTATTCTTCCATACTCTCCTTCAACCCCTGAAAGCCTGTCAGTTCTTTAATACATTGTCTTCCTTTCAAAATGACACCTGCCCTAGAACATATCCTTAAGAGAAACTTCTTTAAATTACTGGCTTCTTCCTTATGTTTCATCTACATTTCTGTCAAGAAAAGACCAATGGCTTGCTTGAATTTAAATTATTACAGAAAATTCTTTGTAAGAAAAATGTAAAATTCTAGCTGGACGTCTAGATTAGCACTTGCCAACAATGACGTGATTGGCAACAAAAGAATTGAAAATAAATACTGTGCATTTTTTTTCACTGTATACACTTTTGTGCCTCTTGAGCCATGTGATTGTGTAGGTGAATATTTTTTTAAAAAGTGAAATTTACATTAACTAAATCATCATAATAGAAGTCTTGCTTTCAGTTTTCCACTCACAGTGGTTTGATATAATTACCTCCAAGAGTTCTGAGGCTTTCAGAAGATGAAACCTTCATCTGCCTAATGTTTTCTGCACACACATAGAATGAAGAGCAGGCTGCTGAGAACTTGAGGAATGGACTAGAGGCAGATAAATTTTGATTTGGGCATGAGTATTTTGCTCAAAAAGAGGCTGACAACCTGATTTGTTCTCTTTAAGACCTTTGAGATTATAGTAAGGTGACTTGAAGAGGATTCAGTTTGATAGGCTGACTGAAAGCTGTCTGAATATTTGCCGGGTTTAAAATGCTGGAAGAAGTTTTCAATCTATATATTTAGGTAAATTTTGCTTAGAATTTTTAGTCTGTTACTACCTCTTGAATTTTCCATGGTCATTGCTGCATTTAATGTTAGTTAAAGAGTTCATTTTTCAGACCAAAAAAAAAAAAAAAATCAGTGACTCTGTTAGGCTTATTTCAGTTCATAGTTTCCTAAAGAGATTCCAGGGAAATTCTCAGAAGCCTCAAACTTGTGATGGTAATAGCACCAACATCAATTAATTTGGAATCTCTTTAAAAAAAAAAAAAATTCTCACAACACTTAAAAGAGTTATCTGCTGTACACAGAAATTCTTTTCTACTTCTCGATTTACTCCTCTAAGCCCATTTCACATCATGATTACTAGTTTCATTGGTCATAAGCTGTCATTTTTGTTAGTATATTTTACTGTGCCGTGTAATGAAAAATTTTTCGTTAAACCAGTTGTGCATCTCCTACTCTAAAATGGAAGCAGAGTGATAATTTGAATGTAGAGCATAGTCACTGCACCCTGACTAGAGTAATCAATGCAAGAACATCCTTAAATCTTTTCTTCTGTAACAAGGGCAAACTCAGCTAAAAAGTTTGTTTAAATCATGCTTGGCATAACAAGAGCCTTTAAACTTTATCTATCTCTGACTGTCTGTGAATATACCTGACTCATCATCATAGTGCCTTTCAACTCAGCCCCACTCAGCTCAACTGCTCTTCCTGCCTTATACAGATATTTAAAATTCCTTAAGGCTTCTGGTGAAGGCTGCAGGGTTTTTATACTTAATATTATTTTATAGCACAGGAAGTTCATAACTCATGAATATCTGACATTTGCAAAATAAAATGGAGGGCCTTTTTTGTGTATACTCTAACTCTGTTTTTGGTCTCTGACTGTGTGGTGGTTGTATAACATTTGTGTCATAAGCATTTGTTTCTAAGCAGCAATTACATCAGAGTAAAGCCATTTTAAAAATACGAAAAGGAACAGCAGCAAGAAGAAGTAATGATTTTAAAAAGTCCTTCATAATCTTAATCTGAAATTGAAGAAATCAAAGAAATCTGCTAGCAACACTACTACATTATAGCTTTTCTCCACATATAAAAGCATCTTGTATTACTGTTATTTACAAGTGGCTGTTCTTTCACCCATGTTCTTGTCCTCTGTTATCTCCTATACAGAATAGTACTATTATCTATTATGAAAATTATCTTGAAAAGCAATAAATTATCCTGTTTAGAACCTACACTGATTTGATTAGCTCTGTTTCTATGTTATTACAACATAAATGTTCTTATTGTACATACTTTATTAGTTTTTCTTAATTGCATAACTTATCTTTGATGGCTCACTTTGCTTTATATAGTTTAGTAAAAATCCACACAAAGGATTGACAGTTAATCATTTCAGTGTATTTCCAGGTAGTTCCCAGTGAACTAAATTGTTGTAATTTGTGATGTTAACTCTTTCACTGTGAGGAGGGAGGCACTGTTCCTTAATCAGCTGCAAGAGTTTTCCTGGATTACTGACTTTACTCCCTGGATGCAGAGAGGGTCTTCCCAGTATCTAGTCTCTGCATCTTGTCTTCTGCTTTAGCCTTTTGTCTTGCTTCTTGACTAATATGATTCTTGAGGTTCTACACCTGCTCATCCTAAGGGCAATACCTTTACACCACAATGCCTGGTCAGTGCTAACTTTACTAGGACATCTGCAGAGTAGGGACGATAGTAAAGATCAGCGGCACGTAGTCTGCCCTGCCCTCTCTGTCTGACTTGGATATCATTCTTAGATATTCTAGTCTGCTCTGTTGCTTTATTGCAGTCAAAAAGATTTTTTTTTTTTGGAGACTCTACTATAGAAAATTAGAAGTTTTTACAGACTCAAGCAAAGCCATGTCCTCCTTTATCTCAAGTAGGAGAAACTTTTGGGAGAGATGCATTTGGAGGAATGACGAAGCAAGGATCACCTTCCCAACCAGTGAAATAAGTGACCAACAGAATGACATAAGAAGCAGATTACTGTCACATCCAGATGTTTTCATGGACTTACTATACTCAGAGCACTGTGACTAGCTCATGAATTAGCATGTTACTTGGCACATAGGTAAAAGTAAATGGTATATCTATAATAGGTATGTTAGAGGCTTCATATCTCCTAGCTGGAGAACTAAGACATAAAACTCCAGCTGTTTAAGGCAGCAAGAGTATGTGAGTTTAAATGGCAGTAAGTTCAGAGAGGTCACTGTGGTCCAAAGTATAGGACAAGACTTCTCAAAACTATGAAACTTGAACCAAACCCTACAAGGATGTTGATTCTTAACTCTGCTTCCATGGTTTCTTGCTTCTTAGCATTTGTAGATCCTGACTATTGGTTTTGTCTCCATAGAATAGAGAATTCTTAAGGAGAGCCTAATAATAAAAATCCTGATACTTTTTATTTTTAAGTATTTTGCTTAAAACAACTGTTTCAGAAAACCACCCTTGATTCTGAAGATACTAATAATAGAAAACTTCTTAACTTCTCTTTGGGTGAGTATAGTTGTCCTGCTCTACTGTCAGTTTCTCTTCTCCCTCATTTATATTATAAATATATAGGAGACTGGAACCATGTGTTTCTTATCCTTACTCTGTAATTCCCTATGGATAAGACTGGCCTGATTCTTACATTGTAATCTAATCACTTACTGAGAGTGATTTTTTTTCCATGTATTTGTTGAAGGTGATGGATTAGCCTTTCAAATGCCCCAGCACAAATAGCACTAGTTGTCTTGAGCATTCCCATCAACTGCCTTCCTCTGATCGCTATTCCTGTACCAACTAAATATGCTTCGACTTCCTTTCTCTGCTAGCCCCATTTCCATAGGACATTGAATATACTTTTAAAGAGATGGCAAGACTTCCCTTCAGAATATGGGCTTTTCTTTTTGGCAGCTCATGTGCATAAACTGGAGATACGCACATTGGTGGATGAGATCTGACCAAGTACACAGAAAGCCTTAAGTGAGATCATCCAAGTAAATCTTAAAGCCCATCGAGTGAATATATTGCCTTACTTTTAGTTAGTAAATGTTTTCAGCCACTGTGTTTAACTCAGCTTAAATATAATAAGGCTTTGCTCACATCTGTTTGAACTCACTTTTTCTAATTCATTAAAAATAATTTCATTCAACTGTTGTTTTCAACAACTAATGAACCTTGTCCCTGTTCTTCTCTTGTGAAAATGGGCTGTTTTCAATATGTGGACCTTAGCATACATATTGCTTTCTCTTCTTAATCCTTCTTTGTGATCCAGCTTTCATTCTGTCTGGCAGATACTGATAGCTTTGTGATTTTGAAAAAAGAGCATGTAAGTGTACCTTGAGGATACCAGCAAAGTTATTCTTAAATGAACATCTGTATATTGCAAGCTGTTTTTTATGGACCTTCATCTTAACCTAATTAAAGGCAAATATGGAAGTCTTTTTACCATTAATGCTACAGAGATTCATTTATTTAACATTCAATAAATATTTCTTGAGTTCCTACTATGTTCCAGGTGCTGAGGACCTAGCAATGAATAAGACAAACAGTGACCCTGCTCATAGCCAGCACACATTCTAGCAGGGGTTGCAGTAGAGATACAGATGAAAAATAACTAAGTTGTTTTAGGAGACCAAGACTTCAGATGATTTAGGAGACCAAGAATATAAGATTTGACGCCCTGTGGAGAATAGAAAAAGTCAAGAACAGCTCTTAGGTTTAAGCTTGGGTGACTGAGTTGGTGATAATGCAGTTAACTAGCTCAAGAGTCTCAGGATGAGAGGCAGGTTTAGAAGTGGGGATAATGAATTTGACTTGGGGCAGTGAAAAATACAAAACTGGAAATCTGAAGAGAAGTCAGAACTGAAATAGATTTGGCTGTTACCAGCATTTCATGTAAATTTTAAAAGGAGAAGGAGCAAGAAGAGTAGTCAGCATTGTCAGATATGGCAGGATGAGGCTCTTTTAAAAGGCCATTGTATTTGACCGTTGAAAAACCACTGATGACTTCAAGGAGACCGATTTCAGTAGATATGGATGGGGGCAGGGGACAGAGCCATGTGATGGTTGGTTTACAGAATGAAGGGCTATGATTGTCTAGCCAAGGTCATTGTGCTTTTCCTCCTTGGAAACTTTGAAACTGAGGTCAGAGCTTTTCTCCCTCCCTCAGCTTTCTCCACTCAGGGCCCACAACTGGGATGCCTGAACTAGGAGCATGGCGGAAAAACAAATTAAGATCTTTGGGTCTCTGGTGGGATAAGGGCCCAAGGATAAAGGAACCTGATGTTGGTGAGTCAGATATTGCAGGAAGCATCCTCAGTGGGGGACAGTGAGTCAGGCCAGTTCAGAGACCTGTTTCTAGAGGGGGAAAGTGAAAACACACATGTAGATCTCTGTTGGTTGAGGAAACTCTGGACCAAGAAGCTGGGTTAGAATGGGAAAAGAAAGGATCTTTAAGGCTGGAGGAAGAAACATGGAATTAGTTAAGAAGTTCTGCTCAGTGAAGCAGTGGAATCTGGCAGAGTTTGGCAGGGGTAGAATCTGAGGTAGCAAACTGATATTAACTAGAAACTCAAGCAGGGATACCTAGGTTTCTTAGGGCACAGGGACTGGGGATAGGCAAAGAGGAACTGTTGGCAGTACTGGTGACCATAAAGATAGTAGTGAGGGGGCAGTTTATGAATTGAGGGGTAATCCCAGCAATATCTGGCATATAGATATTTAATAAATATTTGTGAAGCCAAGAGGGTCAGTAGTTCCTGGGAATCGGACGTTCTGAGTTTCTGAAGAGGCATAAGAAAATACCTGGGTTCCATTCAGGGAGAGGATGGAGGCAGTGACTAAGGGACTTAAGACAGCTTGGAGGTGCAAATCCCCAAATGGAGCTTTGTTCCTCGATTAGAGTTAGAAGCAAAGGTCAGGGTTGGGGGCTCAGTGCCTTACTTAAATCTGGGACCTAGGAGTTCCTGTGCATATACCAGATTTCCCCACCTACACACGGGCACCCTTGGCCTGTAACGCCTTCTCTGCCCACTAGGGGGCAGGGCTCGAGGGGGCTGGTGGCTGTTCTGAAGCCTCGAGGGCCATCGGTTTCTACCAGAGCCGCTGTGGGTGCCGTCCTACCCATGGCAGGACACAGGCCCTCAACCCTCTACCCCCTTGCAGGCAGTGGTGGGGGCGGCCCCAGAGGGCCAGTGCCCCTGCAGGTTGACATTCTGACCTGGTTGAACACCCACGCGGCCCCTGGCAGGGTGATAGTCTAGCCGGAGGTCCGGCTGGAGGCCCTGAGTTGTGGGGGATTCCCCCGGTCCCCTGGCACACAAATTCCGGGGCTGGATAGCACCCTGCAGAGCCTGTCTTGGAGCTGGCGAGGCAGGGGCCTGGTTGCGAAACCCCTCTGAAAGCGCCCTCCTCGGGCCCTACATTGCCCTGCAGAACAAGTTGCCTCTGCCAGAGGACGTCTCAGGCATACAGAAAGAGTTGCAGCAGCTGGCCAAGGAGCTGAGGGAGAAGAGGCTGAGCCTAGGGTACTCGCAGGCCGATGTAGGGATCGCTGTGGGAGCTCTATTTGGGCAGGTGCTTAGCCAAACGACCGTCTGCCGTTTCGAGGCTGAGCAGCTAAGCCTCGCCAACACGTGGAAGCTGCGACCATTGCTGGGAAAGTGGCTGGAAGAAGTGGACGCAGAGAATCTTCTAGGCTTATGCAAAATGGAGATGATCCTGCAGCAGTCTCGCAAGTGGAGACGGGCAAGCAGGGAGCGAAGAATCGGAAACAGCCTGGAGAAATTCTTCCGGCGGTGTCCGAAGCCCACACCCCAGCAAATCAGCCACATTGCTGGGTGCCTCCAGCTGCAGAAGGATGTGGTTCGAGTTTGGTTCTATAACCTCAGCAAGATGGGCAGCCGGCCAATCAATGATGCTTCCCCACGGGAGGTTGTGGGGGCTGCCAGTCCTCCATGCCCAGGGGCACCAGTGTGCTTTCCCCTGGGACTGGGGATCCCGGTGGGTATCCCCCACTATACACCTCTCTACTCTGCAGGGGTAGCCCACCCCTCTGCCCCAGGCACCAGTCTGGGCCTCCCCAGACTTTAGGGCTGAGGGACATGCCATTCGCAGCAAGTTTGGAGAGAAAAGAGAAAGGGAAAACCTGGAAATGTCCCTGGGGTTCATTTAAGGACTTTTAGCATTAAGTTCTCATTCACTGTCTAAAGAAGTTAAGAATACATAGTAGGGAATGGGGGTGGGAATTATTCAAGAAAAACTTGGTAGAGAAGTAAGTTTATTGCAGTTTTTGTGTTTTCTCTTTGTTTTTCCCTAGCATTGGTTTCAAGGTACTTAAAGTATATAGATGGTTTTGATATTATGTTTCTTTTTTTATTAAAGATTATGTCTGTTATTCCTTGTGGTTATGAGTGAACATAGGGTTTAAATTTTTTTTATAAACACAGTACTAAGTGAAAAATTCGAGTCACAGAAGACTACCTTAGTATACAATTTTTAATTAAAATCCAAGCAGAACTCTTTGTAAACACAAACACAAAATCCAGGATAATAGTTATCTCAAAGGGATGGCTTGAGAATGTGATAAGGAAGAGACACAAGAAAGCTTTTTTTTCCCCCTTTTTCTTTTTTCTAATTTACCTTTTCATTTCTAGTGCCCCAGCTTCATGTCAGGATCTCAGTTCATCTCCCCACTTTATGCAGGCGCATGGGTTTATGTCCTGTCCTAGCACAGTCACTATATTCTAAACTCCTTTGTTACCGAGGTTGGCAAGCTGGACAGCCAGAGCTTTAGTGCCAGCTGTAGCTTACTCCTTCGGTTTTCAGCTCTGTTTAGTTCCCTGGGAATTTTCTTTACTTTCTCTTGATCTCTGATACAGTTTTAAGAGGATATTTGTAATAGTTTATCCAAACTTCCCTGGTGGCTTTTGCCATTATACATCAAATCACTCTTCTAATTTCATCTCTGAAATTTGTCTTTTCAGTTTTCTACTTCTACTTTGGTCAGTTTGGGTCACCGTATACTAAATGGAGATCATTCATCCCTCTTTGTTTTCAAATCTGCTGTCGCACACGCCTGTACTATTTATTGTCCTAGAATTCTAACACTATAGATTATATCAGAGTTTATGTCTTATTTCTGGATACTAATCTTGTCAATTTTTGCTTTTTTGTAATCAGTCTGCAAAGATTTTATCTATGGAAATTTTCAAAGTATAAGCTTTTTGACTCTTATTCTACTTACTGCTATCTTTATTCCCTAATTAATTTTCACTTTATACTTCTGAATTTTTTTCTAATTTCTTCTGTTTTTTATCATTGCTCTTTTTAATAGTTTGTACATGAGTACTTAGTTTCTTTCTTTCTTTTTTTTTTTTTCTAGTGGGTGTATGGAAAATAACTCTTATGTGCCTGAGAATATAAATCAGGGGCCCAATAAGAGACATAACTCTGATCTTATGACCTCAAGGCCAGGGCCAATTTTACTATCACACAAGTCAGGCATGACTAAGCTTTCTACTTAATCCTTTCTTCCTGAGGCTGTAGAAAATTTACCTTTACGTGTGTGTGTGTGTGTGTGTGTGTGATAAAATGTAACATTTTCCATTGTAATAATTTTAAGTGTAAATTCAGTGACATAAGTTACATTCACAATGTTAGGCAACCATCACCACTATCCATTTCCAACATTTTTCAGTCACTCCAAACATAAACTCTTCTCATTAAGCAATAACTCCATTCCCCTACCCCTTAACCCGGTAACCTTTAATCTATGAATTTGCCTGTTCTAAGCAGTTCATATTCATGGAAACAACATTTGACCCTTTGTATCTGGCTTATTTCACTTAGCATGTTTTCAAGGTTCATCTATGTTGTAGTATGTATCAGAACTTCATTTTTGTTTTGACTGGATAATATTCCATTGTATGGATACACCCCATTTTGTTTATCCATTCCTATGATGATGGGCACTTAGATTATTTTCATTAATAGCCAGTGGGCTATTGTGAATATTACTGCTATGAACATTTGTGTGTAAGAATCTATTTGAGTATCTGTTGTTTCCGTTCTCTTGGATGTATACATAGGAATGGAATTTCTGAGTCATATGGTAATTCTATGCTTAACCTTTTGGGAAACTGCAAAATTGTTTTTCATAGTGAAGACACCATTTTACATTCCCACCAGCAATGTAAAAGAGTTCCAGTTTTTCCATATCCCTGCCAACACTTGTTATTTTTTTTAAAAATTATAACCATCTGGGCTAGGCGCAGTGGCTCATGCCTGTAATCCCGCCGAGGCGGGTGGATCACAAGGTCAAGAGATCGAGACCATCCTGGTCAACATGGTGAAACCCCATCTCTACTAAAAATACAAAAATTAGCTGGGTGTGGTGGCGCATGCCTGTAGTCCCAGCTACTCAGGAGGCTGAGGCAGGAGAATTGCTTGAACCCAGGAGGCAGAGGTTGCAGTGAGCCGAGATTGCGCCATTGCACTCCAGCCTGGGTAACAAGAGTGAAACTCCGTCTCAAAAAAAAAAAAAAAAAAAATTATAACCATCTTGATAGCTGTGAAGTGGTATCTCATTGTGGTTTTGATTTGTATTTCCCTAATAACTAATGATGTTGAGCATCTTTTCATATGCTTATTGTCTATTGTGTACCTCCTTTGACGAAATGTCTATTCAAATCCTTTGGCCATTTTAAAAATTGGGTTGTTTCTTTTCTTCATATAGTCTTGATACTAAGCCCCTATTAGATAGATGATTTGCAAATATTTTCTCTTATTCTGTGGGTTGTCCTTTTACTCTTTTGACAGTATCTTCTGATGCACACATGTCTTTAATTTTTATTATGTCAAGTTTGTCCATTTTTTCTTTTGTTGCTTGGGCTTTTGGTATTATCAAATGCAAAATCATAAAGATTTGCTCCTGTGTTTTCGCCTATGAATTTTACAGTTTTATTTATTAAATTTAGGTCTCTGATTAATTTCAAGTTAATTTTTGTATATGGTAGGAGGCCAGGGCCCAACTTCATTCTTTTGCATGTGAATAGCCAGTTTTCCCAACTCCGTTTGTTGAGTTCTTTCTGAATTGAATGATCTTAGCACCCGTGTCAAAAATCAGTTGACCACACACATGAAGGATTATTTCTGGGCTCTCAACTCTCTTCTATTCGTCTGTATGTCTGTCTTTATGCCAGTACCACATTGTTTTGACTATTGTAGCTTTGTAGTAAGTTTTGAAATTGGGAAATGTGAGTCTTTCAATTTTGTTCTATGCCATTGTGGGTCACTTGAACTTTCATATGAATTTTAGGATCAGTTTTTCCATTTCTGCCCAAAACACCATTGAGATTTTGATAGAGAATGCATTGAACCCTCAATGTTGCTTTACAGAGTGTTGTCATCTCAACAATTTTAAATCTTTCAATCCATGAACACAGGATGTCTTTTCACTTATTTATGTCTTCTTTGATTTCTTTGAGCAATGTTTTATAGTTTTAGTGTACAAGCCTTTAATTTCCTTAAAGTTATTCATAGATATTTCATTCTTTTGGATACTACTGGAAATGAAATAGTTTTCTTTATTTCCTTTTAAAATTGTTCACTGCTAATGGATAGAAAAACAACTGATTTTCCTGTGTTGATTTTGTATCCTGCAGCTTTGCAGATTTAGTTCTAACAGGTTTTTATGTGCATTCTTTAGGGTTTTCTACATATAAATCATGTCATCTGTGAATAAAGATAGTTTTGCTTCTTCCTTTCCAATTTGGATACCCTTTCTTTTTCTTACCCAATTGCTCTGTCAAAAACTTGTAGTACTGTGTTGTATAAATGTAGCAGAAGGGGACATCCTTGTCTTGTTTTTGTTCTTAGGAGAAAAATTTTCAGTCTTTTCACCACTGAGTATGATGTTAGCTGTGGCTTTTTCATATGTAGTATTATTCATGTTGAAGAAGTTCCTTTTTTCTTAGGTTATTGAATGTTTTTATATGCAAGGATATAGGTTTTTGACAGTTTCTCTGGAATAAATGAAAAATGCTTAAGGGATCTATGAAATCCTATGACTATTTCATAAGATTATGGTAACTACCGGTACCACTACTTCGTTCCTCAGTGCTACCATCACCATTGCACCTACACCTAAGGGACCTAAGCATCACTTTTTTCCCCGACTCTAAGGGTGGTTATTTCTCTGTTTCAAGGGAATCTCATTCTCATGACATCCTTCTAAGAGTAAATGACTCCCCTGTGGTGATGAAAACAAGTTTTAAATTGGATCTTCCATAATCCACAATATGAAGCCGCCCCAGATGTAGCTCAGCTTTCAAGAATGAACTTTTGGTGAAAAAAAAAAAGTCAAGTAAAAATTCATGCTGCTCTTAGATTCTTCAAACTCTTTAAAAAGGTTATTTTATTATAAAAAAAATTGTAACAACTTTAATTTTCAGAACATACCTATAAGCTGTATTATTTCAGGTGGACAATGGAGATATATCAAGATTATACTTGTATAAGATTAGCTTGAGTTCCCAGTTTATTTACTCAAGAATATAGAATCACATTGTAAATATCATGGCCACAGAGCAGGTATAAATGAGCCATATACATCAGCACAGCTTTCCATGGTCCAGCATCCTTGATGATGGTGCCCAAAATAAGGCACTGGATAAAAAGGTTGGAAATGAATTCCATACTAGTTTTTTTTAATCCTCGGAGCTACATCAGTGCTCAAGAAAAAATGTCTTCTCTTAATGCTTTCATTTAAGAGAATGTTTGGAGACATTAAGCTCCTTCTGGTTCTTGGACCAAACTCAGTGACAGTGAATCCACAACTTCATCGAGCAGAAGAATCTGAATTAGTGCCTGGATCTCTGATCCCAGCTTATAACATCCCAGTGAGACCATTTCCTCCACACAAGCTCCTGGGACCCAGCTTAACAAATGTATGCTTTTTCTTCTTGTCAGCATCTAAAGGTAGAGCACTGAGGATCCACATAAGTTAGTAAAAATGGAGCCAAACCTTAATTCCTTAGCTTTAGATTGAATAGGCGACTAGGCACTTACTATTGGATTATCCCACTAAAAGTCACATGGCACCAACTCCATTTCATCCTTTTACTAGACAGCCCTTCTGGAAAGCCTTGGAAAGGAGATGTTTCTGCAGAGAGTCAGACAGTGTTGAATGCCAGGATAAACAACTCTGATTGTGTTGTGAGCATAAGAGCTGTGAAGAGACGCTGACCCCAGCTGCTCCTTTAGTTCTTCTGCAGCCTCTACAGATGTGGAGAAGTTGTGGTGGGCTCTCAATCTCAGGGAACAGCTCTTAGAGTCCACCTCAGCCCCCCACATA